CTTGGCAGTCTCAGCGAGCCGCAAGCGGATCGCCCCCGCTACTGTCGCACGGCTGGAGCGCAGCCACGCCGGCGGGAGCGGAGGCAGCCGACCCGGGCTGCAGAGCCTCGGCTTCCACCAGCCCCAATTTGATCGGGTCAGCGCGAGGAGCGGGACGCCGCCCGCCTCGTCGTCACGCTCGCACGTCAACGGTGCCAGCGGCGGCTACGATGAGAACGGCCATGCCAACGCCAGCAGCGGCGGTGGCAGCGGCGACGGCGGCGGTGGCGGAGGAGGCGGCGGCAACGTGCTGATGGAGGCTCAGAGGCTCAATGTGCAGCGGGTGCAACCGGCAACCTCGCCGAAAGCCGCGCTCCAGACCACGCCGACAGCCGCGACCACGACCACGACCACGACGACGATCGCGACGGCGACGGTGATTGCCAGCACGGCGACGTCGACGACGCCTCCGTCGTCTGCCGTCCAAGCCAATGCGGGCACGCCCTCGCCCATGGCCAAAGTGCAGGGCCACGAGCGATCGCGGTCCGCCGTGGTGCTGGGCGTGTCGAGCGATCTGACGCCAGCCAGCCCCAGCAGCGCCGGTTCGCCAAAGGTGCCGGTGGTGCGAGCAAGTCCCGACATCAAGACGCGGTACCAGCTCAGGGATGCCGGCAGCCGCGCCGGCACGCCCTCGAGCCCGGGCGGCGCCATGGCCCGGACCGACGCCGAAGTGCTGGGCGCCGAGCCCCTCTCGACGGACAAGGAAACGACGGCGGCGCCCAAGGTTAACGCAGACATCCTGACGGCGCGCGACGGTGCCCGCTCAATCTCAGCCGCGGCAGCTGCCGCCGCCGCTGCTGGTGCTGCTTCGCCTGCGCCTGCGCCTGCTGTGGATGACACGACGGCAAGGCTGCGCTCTCGGACCAGGACTCCTGCCGCTGACGTGGAGACGGCCGGCACGCGGTCCTCTTCGCGCGTCGTCTCGTCGAGCAGCAGCGGCAGCGGCAGCGGCAGCAGCAAGACCAATGCATCAGCGGCCGCGACGGCGACGCGAACCAGGCAGCCATCCGGGACGGTGCCGCCGCGGCCGGCGACCTCGATTGGCGTGCGAGCAGGGGCCGGCGGGGCGACGGCGGCGGGCACGAGGTCTGCGTCGGGCAGGCTGAGGGATGCACGCGCTGCGCTGTCGAGCCACGCGGGGGATGCACGCCTGCGGGCCGGATCGACGAGGGCTGCACAGGACCTGCGGAGATCGGCCAAGGCGGGCGAGGCGACCGGGCCTGCCGCCACCAGGGCCGGCACCGTCGGCCATCCCACCAGCACTGCCAGGACGACTGCGACGGCGGCGGCGGCGGCGGCGGGGACGACGACGACGGCGACGGCGGGCACCTCAGCGCGGCTCTCGAGGCCTAGCTCGAGGCTGCTGGCGCCGACGGCGGCATCGGCAGCACGGGCAGCGGCGACGCTCAAGCGCTCGCGGGTGATCAGCCCGGACCTGAGGGGCCGACGGAGCGGGCGGCGACGGAGGCGCGACATTCGCATCGCGGCCCACGTCGGGTGCGTCAAACGTGGGGGCGGCGGCAGCGGCGACGACGCTCGGACTGGGAGCGAGGAGCGCCTCGGGCAACAGCGGCCGGCTCGGGCGCAGCGTGCGGCGGAGGCGGTCGAGCATGGGCGATGCCGACGTGGATGTGGTGGCATGAGGTGGGGGCGAGGCAGCATCCCACCGTACTCGGCCCCATTACCTCTGCCTACGCACCGACTGACGCAGATGATCAGACGCACGATCAGACAGACAGACAGACAGACAGACAGACAGACAGACAGACAGACAGACAGACAGATGCTCCTATCTACGCTTTTCTCTCTCTCTCTCTCTCTCTCCAGCACCATGACCATGGCCGCCACCGTGGTTTCGGTCGCCAGGTTGCCCGACGCCCGTGGCGCTGCCGGTATGGGACGTCCGCAGAGATGCGCGGATGCAGGCGTGCGCGGTGGACATGAAGACGGCATCGAGGTGCGTCTCTCGCGTCGTCGTCGTCGTCGTCTTTCCCCGACGAGAAGCAGCTGAGCTGGTTTGCTACTGTAGGCCAGCCTCGGCTGTCTCTCTGCTCGACCCAAAGGGACGGTCGCGCGACCCAACAGCGCAGCGTACCTCGGTCGTTGCAACAAGATGTCCACGCCATGCGTGCATCTGGCTCTTGTGGGGAAGGGGGCGCTGCAAGGGGGCGCCGAGATTGGGGCCGACTCGACTCGCCGGTCTGGGCCATCTCCGCGGCGACCCGTTACCGAGCGCCGGGGTAACGGTCGCTTCGCCTCCGCGACACACACAACGGGCGCAGCAGCCAGGCCGGGCAGCCCTGCCTCAGTGTCCCACGACACGCCTACGACCAGGCCACGCTGCAAGATATCGGCTCGAGCAGAGACGAGTAGTTGGCCCGGCGGCCGAACCTGGTCAGTCTCTACAGTTCCCTCGCCGCTCTTTCCTGCCAGCTGGTTTGGGCTTGGTTGGTTGGGCCCAGCTGGGGGAGGTGTTACGTTGTACGGCAGCGAGATGCCAGCCAGCTGCTGCTGCTACCACCTTGCTGAGAAGGAACGGCCGTGTCGGCTGGCCGGCTGGCGCTCTGCCACGCTGCCACGCTGCCACGCTGCCACGCTGGCTGGCTGTTCCTGATCTAACGACGTTGTACGCCTGATCTGGCCTGCCTCACACGCGTACGCACTCACCCACGGCCTTGCATGCGATGTCTATGCTGGTCCCCCCGCTCGCCGGCCACCGCAGCCCCACACGCCACGCGCACGCCACGTTTGCTCGCCCCATCGACGCTGCGACTGCTGATTTGCAACCTGGACCGACACAGGCTGCTCCCCCCCCTCCAACTCTACGGCGCCTCGAGCGCGACCGCAACCTCGACCTCGACCTCGACCTCGCCGGTCCGGCCGCACGATGCTTTAACCGTGCTGCACGCGGGGCCCCTCGTCGAGCCGGGTTGGGTTGAGCCGAGCTGAGCTGAGGTGGGCCGGGCACGACCTCTGCACGGCCAGCCTGCCCCCCCGCCACGTCGGACCAACTGACGCCGCAGACGAGGTCGCATCTCAGCCGTGAGATCAGCACCGGGCTGGTGGCTCTCTCTCCGCCTGCGACGATGCTGAGACTGCTACGACACGCTTACTCTTCTTGAGCCAGCCACTATAGCGGCTTGACGGCACACCGGGCAAGTACAGTACGTACCGCGCCGCATGGCCAACGCCGCGTGAACCACGGTCGAGCGAGGACAGACCGACGACGACCATATAAGCTCTGCGTCTATCGCTCCTTTGGCCACACGGCCTTTCAGCCCTCTCGACCCACGTATCGGCACAGCCAGCCACGCTCTCGCTCCTCCAACTCCCCCTCTTCACTCGCTCCAGCCCTCGCCCTCGCCCTCGCCCTCGCCCTCGCCCTCGTCGCGAAAGCCCTTCGCACTCGGCACCGCCCTTCTCCGCGCGCCCATTGACCACCACCGCCGCTGCCGCCGCCCAACATGCCGCCGCACTGCCTCGTCCCACACAACCTGACCATCGCGTCGATGGGCAGCTCCTTTGCCTCTGGACCGGGCCTGCAGCCCGTGGCCAACGCCGAGGCCGGCCGGTCCTACTCCAACTATGCCAACCTGCTCGCCCAGCGCCTGCCCGGGTCGCACCTGGTCGACCTGGCCGTGTCCGGGTCGACGCTTGCCAACATGCTCGACACGCCCCAGGTGACGCCGACCAAGGCCACCTTCGCGCCGCAGCTCGACGGCGTGCCCGCCAACGCCGACGTCGTGACGATCCTGGGCGGCGGCAATGACCTGAGCATCTCGAGCCAGCTCATCTACGAGGCCGCGCCGCCCGTGGCCAAGGCCGGCGTGGTGCCAGCGGCGCCGAGCGCGAGCGGCGCCGAGGTCGAGCGGCGCTTTCTCGCCCTCGTCGATGCGGTGCACTCGCGGGCGCCCAAGGCCAAGATCTTCCTGGTCGAGTACGTCCAGGTGGTGGGCAAGGAGACGGTGCCGCAGCGCGACATCCTGCTCGACGAGACGCGGATCGGGTACTACGAGGAGCGGCAGCAGCTCCTGTCGGACATCTACCACCGCGTCGCCGAGAAGCGCAGCGGCGTCGTCGACCTCGTGCCCATGTACCGCGACTCGCGCCACCACGTCCTCGGCAGCGCGCAACCCTGGGTCACGGGCTTCACCGACCAGACGATCGCAGAGAACCGCGCGCCCTTCCACCCGGACTACGCCGCCCACCGCGCCATCGCCGACAAGCTCTACGGCGACCTCCTCGGGCCGCAATGCCGCAGCAGGTACTAGCAGGGAGCGCGGCGCAACGAACGACCTGGTTCGGCCCACCACGGTACCGTGCTCCTCATTCCTCTTTGTCCCCCGTGCCCCCTTGCCCCTCTGTCCTCTCGCTGTCACGGTTTTGAAACAAAACGAAACGAAACGAAACGAAATGAAACGAAACGAAACCGACAATACGTCTTTGCTGCCGTCACAGTATGGCGAAGGCTTGTCGGGCTCGCAGGAAGAAGGGGGCGAGGTGAGGACCGAGAGAAGGACAGAACCAGGCACGTTGGTGGGAGAGCGAGCTGCCCACCTCTGCCAGCAGGCCTAGCTACCGGCCGTTACCTCGGACTCAAGCGCCAGCTCAAGGGTCAAGGGTCTTGCTCGAGGCCTCGGCTCGGCGGCTTGTCGATCCTCCACCTCGCTGGCTCGGTTCGGGGCCGTCCTAGACCAAGGCGGGTCCGAAGAGATCCTCTCGGGTTCGGAACCGAGGTCCAAGATCAGGGTCAGGGCAGGCCAGGGTCAGGGTCAATCCAGCGCGTGGGTTCGTGCGCCTGCTCGAGGCCAGGCCAGGCTAGGCCACGCCAGGCTGGGCAGCTGCGGGTGTCGGAACGTACCCGCATGCGGTCCATCGTCACCGCCCTGCCTTGACCTTGACCGTGGCTTGCTAGCGCTTCGACCAGGCCGGCCGGCCCGCCCGTCCGCCCTCCTGCCAACGTCGTCGGAACGCAAACCAAACCAACGGCGCCATCCGGTATCGATCCGCCGCGCCGTCCGTGTGCGCCAAAGCTAAGGGGAGCCATAACGGTGTGCCCCGGATGGTACCGTACGGTGGTCATGGTGGCGCACCGACCGGAGCGATACGATCTCATCTCGGACCTTGTGCACCGAAACCAGAACCGCCGGAGGAGGCAGGCAGGCTCTGTGGGCTACAGCTAGTACTAGGCGGCGAGGCACGCGCACGCATGCACGCATGTCATCCATCAGCGCTGTGCCGCGTTCGGCAACGTCGATCCGCCCATCGTATGTCGCTTTCAGCCACCGACTGCAACAACGTAACGTAGCTCGACTCGACTCGAGCCGGAACGTGGAACCGGACCCGGGCCGACCCGCAGTCGACTTGGAAGCAAGCAACAAGCAAGCAAGGTCGTGTTCGCGGCGGTCGCGTCGACGGCAAGTGCTCCGAAGCGTGCTGGCCGGCTGCTCCTTGGTGGCTTACTACGGCCTTGCCTGCCTACGTGCCTGCCTGCCTGCCTGCCTGCCCGCCTTGCCTGTCGGGCCGACACGACGGGACGGCCCGGATCAGTGCGCCATCGACGGCGAGCTGCGAGGACAGAGAGAGGCAGGGCTGCGCTGCTGGTGGGCTAGGCTACTGTAGGCTGGGAAAGGCAAGCCAGGCTAGGGTCCAGGTGGGCAGGCCCCCAAGCTAGCAGTTGAGGCCTTGGCCTGGCAGCAGCAAATTTACGCGGCGGCGGCGGCTCGACGTCACCCACCTCGCTGGCTGCCTGGCCTGGCCTGGGCCGGCCCCACTCCGCCGGCTTTGGGCGGCAGGCGTGCCATCAGTCACCTTGCTTGCTGGCTTGCTTGCTTGCTTTGGCTTGGCTGCGCTGGCTTGCTTCCTGCTTGCTTGCTTGCTCCTTGTCTCCTGGCGGCTGGGGTGCTTGGCGCCAACGGGCCAGCCAGCCAGCCAGCCAGCCAGCCAGCCAGCCAGCCGCGCCGTGTCTTGCTTGGCTTTGGGGCTCCCACGCCCGCCCGTCTTATTCTTGGTCGGTCTTCGTCGTCCTCGTCGTCCTCCTCCTCCACCACCACCACCACCACCATCGCTGCTGCTACCTACTGCCGCGCCCGCGACCCTAGCAACCACCTCCTTCCCGACAACGCCCTCGGCCCCTCGCCCTCCTGATCCAGTCTCGACAGCGGGCAACAAGCATCCACCTCCCTTCCCGCCACACCTGCCTCGACCTGCCGCCATCCTCTAGACGAGCCCGCAGCTAGAAGGGCAGCGCCACCTCTCGCCGCATCACCCTTCCATCTAGACGAAGATCCACGCCCGCGACCCCTCCCGGCTCTCGCCTCAGCCGGCCCCGGCCTCGTCTCTTGGACCGCATCCTCACCCTCTGACTTAATCCCCTCGCCTCTTTTGGCCCGCCTGCCCGCCATGCTCAAGCGCGCCATCGGTGGTCTCACCAACAGCGACCACAAGAAGGACAAGGACTCGACCGTGTCCGCGCCCGCCGCCACCGCCGCGACCACGACGGCCAACGGCGACTCGTCGGTCCCTTCGAGCGGCCAGCAGACACCCGCCAGCGCCATCCAGCCCAGCTCGACGACCACCTCCCAGGTCTCGGTCCGCTCCGACACGGCCGCCGCCGCCGGCGGTGGCGAAAACCACGGATACAGCCGCCAAAAGACCAAGGACGGCGCGGGCCGCGACAAGAGCTTCCGCCTCTCGTCGATCCTCTCGAACCCAATCAGCCGCAGCGGCTCAAAGACACGCCGCACCGCCTCGGGCACCTCGAGCCTCGACGAGCCCAGGCCCAGCGCGGTGCGCAAGCAGCAGAAGCAGGAGGAAAAGGAGAAGCGCGCCATCGAGCGCGAAAAGTACCTCGGCGGCATCGCCTTCCGCCGCCAGGAGTCGGACCTGCGCGCCGCGCGCATCGAGACGCCCGAGCAGCGCGCCCGCTACGGCAACTCGTACCCGGAAGAGTGGGACCAGCACTACGACCAGTGGGCCGACATTGCGTCCATCTCCGACGACCACCAGATCGGCGACGTCGTCACCCTCCGCGCGCGCATCCACACCATCCGCGATGTGAGCTCGCACCTCGTCTTCATCGTGCTGCGCCAGCAGATCGGCACGCTCCAGGCCGTGCTGGCCGAGGACCAGGACAACGTCACCGGCCACTTTGTCCGCTGGGCCAAGCGGCTGCCCCTCGAGTCGATTGTCCTGGTGCGCGGCAAGCTGCAGCAGCCCCGCGAGCCCATCACCGGCGCCTCGGTCCACCAGGCCGAGATCAAGGTGCAGGAGCTCTATCTCGTCGCCGAGAATAAGGAGGCGCTGCCGTTCAACGTCTACGACGCCGACCTGGTCATCAAGAGCCGCGAGGACGACGACGACGACGCCGGCGACGAGAGGAGCGACGACGCCAGCGCCAGCGCCAGCGCCACCGGCACGGGCACCGGCGCCGACTCGAGCGAGGCCGACGAGCACCAGCACATCGAGGCGCGCGGCAACGACGCGCCCGTCATCACCCAGCGCGTCCGCCTGTCGAACCGCATCATTGACCTGCGCACCCCCACCGCCCAGGCCATCTTCCGCGTCAACGCCGCCATCTGCAGCAACTTCCGCTCGTTCCTCGACCGCCACGGCTTCCTCGAGATCCACACGCCCAAGCTCCAGGGCGGCGCGTCCGAGTCCGGCTCGAGCGTCTTCACCCTCGACTATTTCGGCCGTCCGGCCTTCCTCGCCCAGAGCCCGCAGCTGTACAAGCAGCAGGCCATCGCCGCCGACTTTAAGCGCGTCTACGAGATCGGGCCCGTCTTCCGCGCCGAAAACTCCAACACGGCGCGCCACCTGACCGAGTACACGGGCCTCGACATCGAGATGGAGATTGTCCACTACTACGACGCGCTCAAGCTCATCGACCAGATGCTCAAGTCGATCTTCCGCGCGCTGCGCGACGACTTCAAGACGGAGCGCGAGCTCATCAAGCGCCACTTTCCGCACGAGGACCTCGTCTACCCGGACCAGACGCTCATCCTGCCGTTTGCCGAGGGCGTCCGGATCCTCGTCGAGTCGGGCTACGTCGAGGAGGACGGCAGCATCCCAAAGGAGGACGAGGACCTGCACACGCGCGCCGAGATCCGGCTGGGCGAGCTGATCAAGCAAAAGTTCAACACCGACTACTACATCCTCGACAAGTTCCCGTCGTCGGTGCGGCCGTTTTACGCCATGCAGGACCCGTCGAAGCCCGAGGTGACCAACTCGTTCGACATCTTTATCCGCGGCCAGGAGATCTGCACGGGCGGCCAGCGTATCCACCGGATCGACGAGCTGGAAAAGAAGATGCACCGGCTCCAGGTGAGCGGCAAGGGGATGGAGGACTACCTCGAGGGCTTCAAGCTGGGCGCACCGCCGCACGCCGGGTGCGGCATCGGCCTGGAGCGGCTGGTGATGCTCTACCTCAACCTCGGCGACGTCCGCCTCGGCACGCTCTTCTACCGCGACCCAAAGAGCCTGCCGCTGGCGAAAAAGACGTCGGAGCTGCGCCACCCCGAGGCGAGCACCAACCCGCCGCCGTGGAAGAACCTGCGCCTCGCCCACGACGCCGACGCCGAGAGCGAGGTGCGCGACCTGCAGCCGCTCGAGAAGCTCATCGCAAACTACGGCGACTCGTCCAACACGGCGTGGCTCGACCCGCGCTACACGATCTGGCGCCACGCCGACACGGGCGCGGCGGTGGGCTACGCGCCGTGGAAGGGCTACGCCATGATCATTGGCGACCCGCTGTGCGAAAAGTCGCAGCGGGCGCAGGTGGTCAACGCCTACCTCCACTTCCTCAAAAAGGAGGCCAAGCTCAAGCCGATCTGGATGATGCTCGACGACGACATGGAGGAGATCCTCGGCGGGCGGCTCAACTGGAGCACGCTGTCGGTGGCGGCCGAGGAGCGCATCTACGACCCGGCCAAGAACCCGGCCAAGCACGACCAGGAGGTGGCGCGCAAGGTGCGGCACGCCAAAAAGGAGGGCGTCAAGGTGCAGGACTACGGCCTGCTCGAGACGGTGCCCGCCGACGTCGTCCGGGAGGTCGACGCGCGCATCGAGGACTGGAAGGCCAACCGCAAGGGCGAGCAGGTGCACATGACGAGCGTGCACCCGTGGGACGACATGGAGCACCGCGTCTACTACATTGCGCGCGACCGCGAAAACGTCGTGTGCGCCATGGTGGTGCTGCACCAGCTGTCGCCCGAGAACGGCTACCACATCAAGTGGGCGCTCGACTTCCCCGGGGCGCCCGGCGGCGCCATTGAGCACATCATCCTCCACGCCATGGATGCCAACCCGAGCACCAACCTCACGTTTGGCGCGTCGGCGGTGGCCACGTTTGAGGCCAAGCACGGCCTCAACGGCGTGGCGGTCAAGTTCCTCAAGAAGACGTACGCCGCCATCGCCGAGCACAACCGGCTGGCCAACAAGGGCGAGTTCCGCCAGAAGCTGGGCGCCGTCGAGGAGCGCCTCTACATTGGATACCCGCGGCACGGCCTCTCGCCCTCGGGCATCAAGGCCATTGTCGACTTTTTCAAGCAGTAGCGCGGGGCGAGGGGCGGGGCGAGCGGCGAGCGGCGAGATGCGGCACGACCGCTATCAAGGCTGTGCCCTAGCCTCGCGGTTCCAGCCTGGTGGGGTCGACTGACCCGAGCGCGACTCTGCCTGTTTGTCTGCCTCGTGCGCTCTGCTCTGGTCGTAGGTCTCTGTGTTTTGTTGCTTTTCCGTGTTTGGCGTCCGACTTTACCCTCTATTTGTTGTCCATGCTCGCGCTCGATTGCCTGCCTGCCTGCCTGCCTGTCTGCCCTGTAATTTCACTCGAAACTGCCCTGCCCTGCCCTGCCCAGCCTAGCCTAGCCTGAGCTGCCAGTCTGGGATGGCCTGGCCTGGAGGTGAGTTTGGTATACGAGCAGAGCAGAGCAGATGGGTTTCTGTCGTGCACGCTGCGGTCTGTTTGCCTCTGAGCCAGACAGAGTCGAGTCGAGTCGAGTCGGAGGTTGGAACCCTCATCTCATCTCGATCTCGATCCCGATTGGATTGAATTGAAAGAGAGGCCAGGTGGATGCTGCGTTCGATGCATACGCGTTTGATGCGCTCGTCGGGCCCGGCCCGGCCCGCGTCTGGCTGGTAGCCGAACGAATCCCCGCGGCAAACGACATCCGCGCCGGGCCTGCCGGGTCGATGCGCCCGAATGCGGGCGCCGAGTCTAGAAATCGTCGCGGAGAACAGCTAGAGTGTGGAATCCCGACAGCCGGCCGACCGACCTCACACAAGACTCTCTGACGAAAGCCGGCTTCGAGATTCCGAAGAAGCGCTCCGATGAAACAAACGTCCGGTGGACAGGCTAGCCTAGGCCGGGGGTGCGTACGTACGTATGCAATGGCAACCCCCCACCCCGCCGGTTGCGCAGATGAAGCCGGCCGGCGTCGCTCGAACTCGGGACGATGACACCGCTTGCACTGGCTAGGCTAGGGGCTAGGTGGGACGGAAGGAGACGAGACGAGGATGGGCGGGAGAACCATGGCACCTGGATGTCGTCGGAGCTGACCGACGCGACGTACGCTGCTGGTCATGCCTGGCCTGGCCATCGTCACAGCGCCGTCGTAGCCATCAGGACTGGTGCAGCGTCAGTACGTCGGTCCATGCCCGCCCCGCCTCGAGATCAAGTGGCGGCCGCTCCTATTGACCAGCAGGGCAGTCGACCCTGTAGCTGGCGGCCATCGAGAGGAGCTCGAAGCTAAGAGAGAGTGAGAGGGGACGACGAGAGCGGCGTGTGAAACGGCACGTATGTACGCGCGTCGGTCCAGCCGTCCCGGAGGTTTAATCGATGGCTGACGGAAGGACCGACCGAGGATCGGTACATCCGCTAGGCTATGCTATGCTATGCTACATCTGCATGCGCAGCGGCTGCGACGAGGTACCGCTACGCTGCTTGCTTCCACGTACGGCCCACCCGACCGAGCCAGAGCCAGAGCCGGCGTGCCGGGTTGACTGGGGCGGATGGAGCGGGCGGGCAAGGCACGCTGCGGGCTGGCCTTCTGGCATGACGACCGACTGGCTGACCCGGTTGTTTGGCTCTCGCAAAGAGAAGCCTGCGTGCAGCTGGCTGGAGCTCACCTCCACCCTCCCTGCCTGGCTGCCTGGCGGCCTGGACCCTCTCTCTCTCTCCTCTTCTCTGTGGGTCGCTCTCTCGCCCACCGACCCTCTGCCCCGCCCTGCCTCTGGTCTTGTATCTTGCCGGCCTCTTCGACCGTCCTCGTCCCGTCCCTTGTTCCTCTTCCCTCCCACCATCCATCGCCACCCTGCCCGAAATCGCCGTCGCCGCCGCTGCCGCTTCGTCGTCGTCTGCTGGCCCATAGACTGCACAACCAGCCCCCTCTCCAGCCCATAGAAGACCCCACCGACCCCTCTTCTCGCTCGCCCTAGGCCAGCTTTGTGCGGGGCCTACCATGGCGGGCCACGCCAACCACGATGCAGGCGACGACAACACGACCAAGGCCCACGCAAACGGCAGCACCGGCGCCGGCGCCAACCGCGATGATCGCGCCGAGGCCCCGCAGCGCAAGCCCGCCTGGCGCACCCTGCTCCCGGACTGGGCCGTCGACAACCTCACCCAGCCCCGCAGCTGGCGCATCTGGTTCCGCTGCTGGCTCTCGGCCTGGGCCGGCTTCGTCCTCATGATCCCGCAGTCGTCGCTCCGCGTCCTCGGGCAGGCCGCCTTCTTTGCCAGCATGATCTCGTTCATGGCGCCCCCAAACATGCCCCTCGTCATCTCCCTCATGCTCTACGCCATCATCGGCCTCGGCGCCTGCTTCGGCTGGGCCTGGGGCGTCGCCGCCATGGCCGCCGCCAACGCCGCACGCGACCAGACCGTCAACCAGCAGCGCCTCGTCGTCGCGCAGCAGGGCATCGCCGGCACCACCAACCCAGAGGCCCAGTTCCAGGCCGTCATCTTTAGCGGCCGCTTCCTCGACACAAAGTCCTCGGCCGTCCACGGCGTCTTTCTCATGCTCCTCGCCTACCTCTGCGGCGTCGTACAGGTCAAGCTGCCCAAGCTCAAGATGGGCGTCATCTTCACCCTCATCATCGCAGACATCTTTGGCAGCTACGGGCCCCTCTTCCCCTTCCCGCGCTACACGCTCGGCACCCTCTTCATGATCCCGCTCGGCTGCGGCGTCGCCATCGCCCTCGCCACCCAGCTCCTCGTGTTTCCCGAGACGCTCAACTACGCCTGGCAGCTCCAGCTGCTCAAGCTCATCGGCCTCAACGCAAAGCTCCTCGAGCAGCACCAGTCGGCCCTCGACCGCTGCGCCGGCGTCCTCGACGCCAGCCTCGACGCCTCGGCTCAGGCATCGGCCGCCGACGTCGAAGCCTTCCAGCGCCTCGCCAAGCAGGGCGAGGACGAAATCGCGTCCATCGCCCGCAGCCACGAGGGCGCCGTCAGGCCCATGCAGCTCGGCACCGTGCAGCTCGCCGGCGCCCTCGCCGACCAGGCGCCTATGCTCGAGCTCGAGGCCTCCTACAGCCGCCTCTCGGGCAAGGACCTCCGCACTTTTGTCTTGCCCATCCGCAAGCTCTCGGTCCGCCTGCTCAGCCTCAACGCCTTCTGGAAGCACCTCTGCGACGAGAGCGGCATCCACGCCGCCGACCAGTACCGCACCGACCAGTACGACGACGACGGCGCCGCCGCCCACCAGTGGCACCGTTCCGACTTCGACGAAAAGCGCCACCTCCGCCCCGCCCGCGTCCACGAGTCGCAGACGATGCGCCGCCTCCGCCACCGCGTCCTCAAGGCCGAGGCCGAGCAGCACGTCAGCCTCGTCTCGCTCGTCCGCATTCTCGCCTCGGTCACCGCCGCACCCGTCGCCGCCAACCGCCGCGCACTGGCGTCGGTCCTCACCTACTTTAGCACCGTCGCAAACTGGAAAAAGTCGCCCACGTTCGAGGCGCTCATCGAGGAGCTGTACGAGTCGCAGCGCGACCTCGAGAAGGCCAAGGAGCAGCTCCTCTCCGACGAGCGCATGAAGCTGCTGCAGCCCTACATCGACCACTTCCGCGCCTCTGGCGGCCGGGTGCCCGGCGGCGAACGCGACCGCGACGGCAACGCCGCGCCAGCCTTTCTCGACACCCACATCTCGATCCTCCAGCTCCGCATCGGCGGCCGCCCCTTTTTCGTGTCGCTCGTCTTTGTCACCAACCTCTTTGACGTCATCGACTCGACGCTCGCGCTGCAGCGCCACACGATCGACATGGCCGAGAGGCGCGGCGCCAAAAACAGGCTGTGGATGCCCACCGGCCTGCGCTCCATCTGGAAGGTGCTCAGCGGCAAAAAGGGCGCCCAGGGCCTCAGCAAGCTGTCATCGGATCACAACAACAACGACGGCTTCGAGCGCACCGAGGAGCTCGACGACGACATTGCCGAGCGCCGCGGCCCAGGCGGCGGTCGCGACGCCGAAGAGGGTTCCTTTGGCTCGACCCGGAGCTCGCTGCGGCACTACAGCAGCGACGACGACGAGGACGACGACGAGGACGACGAAGATGGCGCTGACGGCAGCGATGTTCACCGTCGCCGTACCGCTAGCACCGCCACGCGCGACGAGGAAAAGGCCGCCCCGGGCAAGGGGCCCGCAAAGAAGCGCGGGGCGAACAAGCACGCCTCCGCAGCCGAGCGCCGGCGGTACCATGATCGCGATCCCGACGCGCTGCCGCCCTCTGGCGTGCTGCAGCGCGTCGGTCGCGCCCTCGGTGCGGTCTACTACTTTGCCTGGTCGCCCGCCAGCGTCTACGGCCTGCGCAACGTCGTCGCCACGTTTGCCATCTGGATCATCACCGTCGTTCCGTCGTCGGCGGGCTTTGCGTACCAGAACCGAGCAATCTGGGTGAGTGCGAGCGAGGGCTCAAGCCGAGGGGTGGACGGGGATCCACCGCGAGCGAGCAAGGGAGTGGGCGACCGGCTGACTCGCGCTCTTGCTTCTGACGAACCCCCTCATGTCGACCACGCCGCTCCGTGCCCCCGCAGGCGCTCATCATGGCGCAGACTGGCCTGGCGCTGCACGGAGGCGAGCTGATCTTTTCGCTGAGCCTCCGCCTGGTCGGCACCGTGCTGGGCCTGCTCGCCGGCATGGTAATCTGGTACTGCTCGACGGGCAGCGGCAACGGCAACCCGTACGGCATCGGCGCCGCGACGGCCGTGGGCTTTGTCCCGCTCATCTTTATCCGCGCGTTTGCGCCCATGACGCTGCTGCTGCCGGCGCTGATGCTGGGCGTGACGACGGTGCTCATTGTGGGCTACAGCTGGATCGACTCGCACCTGCCCGTCCTGGCCAACTCGGGCATCGGCGTCGACGTGGCGTGGCGGCGCGCGCTCCTCGTCCTCATCGGCATGGGCGTCGCCTTTGCCGTCATGATCTTCCCGCGGCTGACGAGCACGCGCAGCCTGGTCCGCATGGGCTTTGCGCGCAACACGCGCGAGATCAACACGCTCTGGTGCATGGTCATCGAAAAGTGGCTCAGCACCACGCGCCAGGACCTGGCGCAGGACGCCGCCAGCGGATTCCGCAACGTCGTCGCAGGCGTCGGGACCAACGCCGGCAGCGGGGACGACGAGCAGACCAACAGGTCGGCCAATGGCGGCCACGCTGGCAAGGCGTCGAGCGCGGGCACGACGCCGGGCCTCTCGGCGGCGATCCGGGGCCAGTTTGTCGGGAGCCACATGCGGCTGGCGACGCTCATGCAGCAGATTGGGCTGGCGTCGGTGGACCTGCAGCTGCGCGGGCGGTGGCCCAAGGAGCGCTACCTGGAGCTGGCCTCGATCCACTCGATGCTGCTCGAGTCGCTGATGCAGCTCTACATCAGCGTCGACGCGCTCCAGGTGACGTCGGAGCTGGGCTCGGCCAACCTGGGCGTCGACCGGCCCGAGCAGCACGAGGCGTGGCGACGCCGCCTGGTGCAGGACACCGGCTTCCTCTACCCGCAGTTTATCTCGGAGGTGTGCCTGACGCTCGACCTGCTGGGCAAGAGCCTGCGCAGCGGCGAGCGACTGAGCCACTGCCAGTTTGGGCTACTCGAGAACCTGGCGCGGTACAGCTACCTCACCCGCATCGTTTCCGAGCGGCAGCGGCAGGCGGCCCGCTCCGCCACCGTCGGCGGCGCGGCTGGCGGAGGCGCGGACGCCGTCGACGACGAACTCGTGACGCTCGAGTCGCTCAAGGATCCGTGAGTACATGGGCCGGTCGAGCGCCACGCCAAATCGGGGAACCGACGGGCTGACCGTGTCGTCCTGCCTTTTCCCCCCTTCGGCGGCTTCTGCTTCTGCTTCTGCGCATCCAGCCTCTTTATGCGGTACATCACCGCCTCGATGTCGGTGTTGACGCTCGCGGCGCAGCTGGATCGGTTCAGAGAGGTGGTCAAGGACCTCGTCGGTCAGGTACCGTGAGTCGCTCGACATCTGCCTTTCCCCTTGCTCTCCCTTCGTTGGCCCTCCCCTGCGAGATTGGTGCTGACCTGCTGTGCTCCCTTGCCCCATTGTCCTGGCGACGGAACGGCACCGACAGGCTGCCGGGCTTTGACCGACACCGCGACGAGTTTGGAGAGAGGGCGCAGGTCCTCTTTCAAAAGTCGTGATGTTTGCTTCGTCTTTGCGCCGTGTCGTGTCGTGTCGTGTCGTGATGTGACGTGATGTTTGGGTGACGATCTGCATACATACCCCCTCTTGCCCTCTTGCCGCGCGCTCCGTCTAATTCATGTGTCGACGAATCCCGTCGTTAGCTGTGGCCGTGTCGGGTGCGAATCGAGATGCGGGAAGTCATCCTGGCCCCAGAAGCGGAGTGCGGGCGAGAGAGAGACATAGACGAGGAGCGGGAACGATAGCCACGCCTGGTGGCTCCGCTGGATGTCCGCTCGACCATGGACGAGGAAGGGCCTGTCGCTCAGCTGGCCCCACCTGCTGGCGTCAAAAGGGTCGGAGGGTGCTCGCGACGGGCCAAAGGGTAGGGCCAGCTCGAACCACGTCATGCCCGTCTGTCCTGTCCGCCTTTAACCCGACTCGCTCTGGCGCTGCTCTGATCCATCTGCCTCTGCGATTCATCTCGACGCCCCTCCGAAGCGGGGCTGAGGCTACGGTCGCTCGACACGTCCGCGCCTACACTTTCAAGCTGCGCCCATGCTCTCGCCGCCACTCGACGTGGGTGCGTGGGCGCGTGGGTGCGTGCCAATCTGCGTGCGCTTGTCCGTGCCCACCAAGCAAGCAAGCCAGGCAACCAAGGCTGGCCTGCGCCCCGCCTACGCCCCGAGCTTAAACTCCCGGCCTAGGCCTGGCCTGCGCGCTGGTCCTGGCCAACATGCTTGCTTGACGACTGCTTGCCTGCTTGCTGGCTTGCTTGCTTCGACAGCAGCCCCGCCACGGTCCGGCGCCGAGTCGGTCGCGATCGCGGCCGCACCCGCAGCCTGGCTGCTCCTGCGCCTGCCCGCGCCGCTAGAACGACGACGACGGCGAAGTGAAGAAAAAAAGACATCCCTGCTGCCCGCCCTGGCGCCACACCTGCGCTCGCCTCGCCCTTTTTCTTCTCGCGCCCGCCCGCATGGGTTTCCCTCTTTCCTCCGCTCCACCACCATTGCCACCGCCATCGCCATCTCGCCACCGCCATCGCCACTCTCTCTTCCGTTATCAGCCGACTCTCCTCCCCTCTTCTGCTGCCGCACAGCATCTCGCTGCCCTGCGTGTCTCATTTGCTGACCCTGCCTCTCCCACTGAGTTCACAGAAGCACGAGAGGCCGGCCGACCGACCGACCAACCTACCGACCTGCCACCTCGCCGCGCATAGTCGCCACGATGATGTCCCGGGTCAGCAGCCTGGCATCGTGCTGGCTCAAGGGCGGCAGCAACGGCGGGGCGGGCCAGGCAGTCGACCTGATGAACGACTACTGCGGCCAGCAGCTCTTTGTCGTCGATGGCGACTCGCTCCTCGAGTTCCTGCTGCACCGCGAGCGCATCTACTCGCCCCTCGACGTCCGCATCGGCCCGCACCCCGTCCACGTCGCATTCGTCTTCGAGACATTCCTCGCCAACCTCGTCCGCGCCCGAGCCAACTTCCACCTCGTCTGGTTCGACGACCGCAGCCACCTCTCCGCCCTCGCCACCCGTCGCGGTGGGGACACTCTCACCGACGTCGAGCTCGCCGCCCGATGCTACATTCGCACCATGCTCAAGACGCACGTCGCCGCTCGATGCGCCGACGTCGCGCAGCACTCCTTCAGCGCCATCGACAGTCCTGGCTGGACGTCGTACGTCCGCTCCAAGTCGCCCTACTTTGTCCTGCTCCACGACGGCCTGTATGCCGCGGGCAACCAGAGCCCGCTCGGCCAGATTGCTCCCAATGGCGATCGCGAAACACTCCCACACGACGGCCAGCAAGCTGCCTCGAATTGCGACGACGACGATCTGGTAGCCGCGGCGCAGACCTGCGCCATCTACGCCCACCTCAAGGGCGACGGCGAGGCCAAAGGCAGCCGGCCCCCGCTCTCGATCGCCCTGATCCGGGAGGGCATGTTCGTCGACAACAAGGTGCGCACCTTTGTCATCGAAGCCTCGATCAAGATCCGCCACGAGTGCATCCAAGCGCGCTCCCAGGCGGCATTCTCGCACCTTCGCGCCCAGGTCGATGCTGCCACGACGGCCGTTGCGACTCTACTGAGCCAGCTCGGGATTGCGCCCTCGCTCGGCCACGAGGACGGCACGCAGCTGGACAGCTGTCCGGCGCAGCTCGAGCACATCGCTCTTCAAGTCGCCAAGACAATCGACCTCGATTGTCGCGCCACCCCGGTCGTAGCGCAGGCGGTCCTGCTCCACGCCGCCGTCGGCCAGACGCTCGATGTCGAAGACCGAGTCTCCGCTGCCGATGCGGTGGGCGAGCTCGGCGCGGTCTGCGGCGATACTGCCGTGCGGAGGGGCCTCGTCCTGCTCTATTGCGCGTCGGAGCGTGCCCTCTCCGCTCTCTCCCAGCCCTCAGCCAGCGACCGGCCGTTGCTGCTCGTCGACCCGTGCCTCTTCCTTGTTATAGCCGCGATGTGCAGCGAGTCTGAAGAGGTGAGCAAGCGTTCCCGAACCTGGTCGCGCAGCCAGGCGACTCTCAGAAACGAGTCGCTGACGACGATCCTGGCGCCTTTCTCGCTCACAGCTACCCGCGTGCACACCGACGATCGAGGCTGGACTTGTGTGCTTCCAGCGTCTCTGTGCCAGCGCAGGCATCGCCGCGACGCTGCCAGACGCACGGCGCGGACCTGCCCTGCGCGACCACGAGGGGCCGAGCGAGACTCGGCTGCTGCCGTACAACCACGACTTCCTTGGACCCAAGCTGCCGCAACTGGGCGGCTCAGCGGCCAACGAGAGCCACGCCATGCGCGGCACGGTCGATTTCGGCGGCATCGCCTACGAGGACCTCTTCCAGCAGCGCTCCGACCTTACGCTTGGCACGCAGCGCGCCCACATCACCGTCGATCCGGCCAAGCTGCAGGGATTGACGCCGTACGAGCGGGAGCGGTACATCAAGTACAGGGAGATGAGGGAGCTGCGCAAGCAGCAGGGCCTCGCGGCGTGGCTGCACTCGTACGCCGCCAGCCTGACCGGCGCCAATGGCGGCATCCTCGAGAAGCAGACCATCACGGTGGGGCAGGCGAGGACGAAGGTCAAGCAGCAGCAGCAGCAGCATCATCATCATCATACACAGCATTCAGATCCGACGGCCAAGGAGACCAAGGCTGCCTCCAAAAACAAGCCAGCTAAGCTCAGCAAAAAGGATGCCATCATCGCGGCCAACAAGGCAGCGAAAGCGCACAAGGACCACGACCGCTCGCAGAGCAAGTGGGCGCACTTTGTCCAGGAAAAGGACCTCGGCCCCGCGCTCTCCAAGGTCGACGGCGGCGAGGTGGCCGCGTCGGCGGGAAAGCTCCTGCAGCGCCGCGAGCAGCTCTCCGAAGAGCTGAGGAGGCGCCTCGTGCACGGCAAGCACGACCGACGCGACACGCTGCTGACGTGGCTTCTCGTTCTCCGGCTCGCGCTGGAGTCGTGGCTGGTTTCGTGCGCGACCGCGAGCAAGGAGGCCGGCATCAAGCACGCGGTCGACGTCTTTGTCGCCTGCCAGAAGGTGACCGACCAGCTGCCCGCCAGCCTCGACTGCTCCGAGCCTAATATCGACCTCGCCGCCGCGTTCTCGATATGGACGGCTCTGGCGGCGTTGGGTCTCGAGGAGGTACTCAAGCAGCGCCTGGGCCCCGCCTGGGACGTCATTCGCGACCTCACGGAGCAGCAGGGCAGGCGCGGCGACGTCGACAAGCTCATGGCGCAGCTCCCGTTCGACATGCCGCTGCCCAAGCGCCGCAAGCGCACCTCGCTGCCGCCGCACCTCGGTCCCGCCCGCTTCCAGCTGCTGCACTGCGGCGACTTCATGGAGCGCCAGCTCGACTCGGCCGCCGACGCGCGCGTCACGTTCCTGCCCGACCGCTGGCAGCGCGAGGTGCTCGACGAGATCGACGCCGGCAGCTCGATCCTCGTGGTGGCGCCCACCAGCGCCGGCAAGACGTTTTCGTCGTTCTACGCCATGGAAAAGGTGCTGCGCCAGGACGACGAGGGCGCCGTCATCTACGTGGCGCCGACCAAGGCGCTCGTCAACCAGATCGCCGCAGAGATCGAGGCGCGCTTCGCCAAGGCCTACGCGGGCGTCGGCCGGACACTCTACTCGATCTGCACGGCCGACTACTCGCTCAACAACCCGTTCAAGTCGCAGATCCTCATCACGGTGCCCGAGATGCTCGACGTGCTACTGCTGCGCGACTCGGCGACGGGCAACCTGGTGCCGCGCATCCGCCGCATCATCCTCGACGAGGTCCACGTGCTCTCCGAGTCGTGCCGCGGCTCGATCTACGAGCAGCTCATCGTCATGTGCCCGGCGCCCATCATCGCGCTGTCGGCCACCATCGGCAACGTCGACGACTTTGGCAGCTGGCTCGCCACCGTATCGGCGGCCCACGGGCACCGGCTCGCCGTCGTCCAGCACAAGACGCGGTACAGCGACCTGGTCAAGCACGTCTATGTCCCCAGGGCGCCGTTTGACGAGTTCCGCGGCGTCGATGTCGGCGAAGCGCGCAGCAGCGGCGGCGGCGGCAGCGACGCCAGCGAAGACGACGACGACGGAGGGCGTGGCGGGCGGCTGCGCCACCTGCACCCGTGGACGGCCCTAATCCAGGGCAACGCGCAGCTGGTCGACGACCTCGAGATGAGCCCCGCCGAGATGGTGCAGGCCTACGACGCCATGGTGAGGTCGGCAGCCGCAGCGCAGGCTTCGAGGCGCCCGACGTCGAGCTCGACGCGTTCTTCCCGTCCGACCGCCCCATCAAGAGGTCCGACACGCTGGCGTTCCAGGCGCGCCTGCGCCAGCAGCTCGAGACGTGGATGGACCGGCCCGACGCCCGGTCCAAGGCATCGCCCTTCCTGCGCCTCCTCGCGTCGCTCGACGGCGGCCTGGTGGAGAGCGTCCTCGAGTACGACCTGGAGAGGCCGTTTGGCAACAAGCACCGCGACTTTTGGAACCAGGCGCTGCTGCAACTCCTCACCGACATGGACGGCAGCGGCCTGCTGCCCGGCCTCTTCTTCAACTACGACCGCAACGTCGTCGAGTCGATGGTAGAGACCGTCGTCGGCGCGCTCGTCGAAGCGGAGCAAGAGTACAAGGAGAGCGACCAGTGGCGCGCCGAGCTCGAGAGGCTCGAGAGGGCGCAGAAGGAGCACGACGCGGCGCGCAAGAGGCTCGACCGCGACCTTGCCCGCGCCAAGGAGGGCAGCAGCGCCCGGACAAGGGCCGAGGAGGCCCTCGACCGCTTCCTCTCGGCCAACCCGCCGCCCATGGCCGGCTTCGACCCCGAGGGCGTGCTGCCCCGGTTCAGCTTTGCCAGCTTCAAAAAGGCGCTCGCCGACGACGAGATCCAGGGCGAGCTGGCCGCCATCGAGGGCAGCGTGGCCCCGCACCTCGTCGAGGGCCTCCGGCGCGGCGTCGCGGCCCACCACGCCGGCCTGTCCAACAAGTACCGCCAGCTGGTGGAGCGCTGGTACCGCATGGGCCGCATCCGCGTGTGCTTCTGCACGGGCTCGCTCGCCCTCGGCATCAACATGCCCGCCGTCAGCTCCGTGTTTATCGGTCACAGCATGTTCCTCACGGCGGTCCAGTACCGGCAGGCGGCGGGGCGCGCGGGCCGCCGCGGGCTGGACCTGCGCGGCAACGTCGTCTTTTTTGGCGTGCACATCGACCGCGTCCACCGCCTGCTGACGTCCAAGGTGCCCGAGCTGCAGGGCAGCTTCCCGCTCTCGACGACGCTGGTGCTGCGCCTGCACATGATGCTGCACCGCCCCGACACGGTGGCCACGGCGCAGTCGATGGCCTCGGCGGTGCTCTGCCTGTCGCGCATGTCGATGGCGCGCAGCGACGCGCCGCGCGTCCAGCACCAGATGCGCGCCAGCATCGAGTATCTGCGCCGCATCGGCCTCCTCGACGAGCGCGGCCGGCCCGTCGACCTGGCCGGCCTCGTCTCGCGCCTGCACTACGCCGAGCCGAGCAACTTTGCCTTTGCCGCGCTGCTCCGCGACGGCTTCTTCTACCGCCTGTGCCAGCGGCACCGCGGCGGCGACCTCAAGTACGCCGGACGCGAGCTCATGCTCGTCCTGTGCCACCTCTTCTGCCGCATCGAGAGGCTGCCGGGAGAGGGCATGTACGACGTGGTGCGCGGGTCGCCGTCCAAGGTCTTTCTCGAGCCCATGCCCGACGAGGCGGCCCAGATCCTCGCCAGGCACTCGAGGCACGCCACGGACACGTATCGCGACTTTGTCGTGGCCCTGGCGCAGCGCGAGGGCCCCAAGCTGCCGAGGGACGACTCGCTGCCGCTGTCTGGGCGCCTCGTTGGCGGCGGCGACAGTGTTGGCGACGACGATGGCAGTCGCGATGACAGCATCACTCGCTCCGACACCGCGGGCATGGCTTCGGGCGGCCCTACAGAGCCAGCCGCGACGTCGGCGCCGTCGTCCGGCTCCTGGGACGCCTCCACCGTCCCGACGTCGCCTGCCACGACGACGGTCTCGTCCGCCCCGGCACCGGCCACGACGCGCTCCGTCTTCTGGCAGCTCCTCTCGCTGGGCGACCAGTACGAGAGCGTGGGCGAGATTTCGCAGTCGCTCCAACCGGGCCTCTCGCTGACGGCCGAAGCCATCCCATCGTTCGACGTCTTCCTGCGTCATCGACGCGGCGACGACGGCGACGGCGACGAGCAGCCGACGCTCAACGCGTATCTGCTCGACTTTTACAAGCACGGCATCGCGGCCGAGCTGGTGCGCGCCAACGGCCTGCGGCGCGGCGACGTGTGGGTCAAGCTCGACGACTTCTACCGCGTCCTCTGCGCGCTCCGCGCCTCGATCGAGACGCTCCTCCGCTCCATGATCGCCGCCAAGGAGAGGGCGTCGGCGGCCGTGGGTCGCAGCGGCGTCAGTCGAGGACGTGGCCGTGATGCGGCGAAGGCGGAGGCGTCGAGTGACTGGGAGGGTCACGATGAGAGCGAGAGTGACGAAGCGCGTTCGGTCGCCCATGGCCGACGAGCCATCGGCAGCAGCGGCGACGACGATGAACAACAACCCAGCGCGGGCCTCGATCCCGCGCCCACCGACGACGAGAGCGACGACGACGACGACGTCGATGGCGGAGACCACCAGGGCGCAGCGCAAGCCGCCGCCACCACCACCACCACCTCGACCGAGCCGCACCACGGCGGCGCGCAAAAGAAGCGGCGCGTCCCCTCGATCCCGCCGCTGATTGCGCTCGACGCCGAGCAGCGCGACGCGGACCTGTGGGAGTTCTACGTGCTCCTCGATCACGTCCAGCGCCAGTTTGGTCGCCGCTTCTTTGCTATCTTTTCCTAGGGTTCCCGGCCCACTCGTTCGGAGCCGCTCGATTAGGGTGCGGTGGCGATCTCACGGGCCCGCCGTGTCGATCCAGATCCGACTCGACCAAGCGTCGGATCAGGATCGCGGGCGAGGATGCACGCAAATGGAAGCTGGACTGGGCAGGAAAGTGGTAGGGGCCCGCTGGAAATCATCGGCGCCGGCAGGGACGGCAGCGCCGACCTTTGCACCTGAAGCTTGGCACGACCGGGGCAGCTGCATGGCCCCGGCCGGCGTCCATCGCCGCTCTGATGGCGCGGCACCTGCTCCGCTCCGCCTCGATCGCGCCCTGGCTCAATCCAGGACGCCGATGTCCTTTGCCAGCTTGAGCGTCTCGACGGCGAGGTTCACGACCTGCATCCGCTGCTGCTGCACCATCCCCGCCACCTTTCCCCCTCGCCCTCCCTCTCGAGCAGCGCCATCGCGTCGAGACGACTGCTGCGTCGCCTCCACCTCTTGCAGTACCAGCAGCTTGAGCGCCTCGATGGTCCCTGACGTACGTAGCCTTTCCCCTGCCTCGATCGATCCCACTTCTTGCTCCTCGATCCCCTCGTCGTCGTCGTCGTCGGCGTCGTCGTTGGTGATTTCGCGGATCCTACCGCCGTCGGTGGAGCCCTGCTCGCTGTCGCGCCGGTAGGAGACGTACCGGACGAGGTTGACGAGGCAGCTCACCGTCCGCAGCGCCAGGCCGAGTCGGTTGACAAGTCTCCTCGCCTCCCTTGTCTCTTCGTCGTCGTCGTTGTTGCTGTCGTTGTCGTCGGCTCTCTTGGCCAAGGAAGGGGGCAGGACAGGCGTCTGTTGATCCCACAGCGCCCCGTCCGCCCCCTCTCCTCCGTCCTCTTCCTCTTCTTCGTCATCGTCGTTGCCGTCGTCCTCGTCGCCGTCGAGCGAAGGTAGGGGTACGCCGAGACACCGGACCAACCACCCGATGCTCCTCGGCTGCAGCGAGAGGATGAGGCCGCACGCGAGCGGGGACGCGGACAGCGTGGCCAGACACGCCCCGCTCGCCAGGCGCGTGGGCAGGTCATCGACCGAGAGGAGCGAGACGAGGACGTGGAGCCGCGTCCGCGTCCGCGCCCGCCCCGGTCTCGTCTTGACCTTCTTGCTGTCACCTGTGCCCGTGCCGGCTTGGGTCGACGAGGTGGCGACGGCGGCCTCTTCGCCGCTCCAGCGTCCCCAAACCCCCTCGTCCTGGAGCAGGTTGCACAGCAGCTCGACGTTGGCTCGTCGACTCAGCTCGTGGTCATCCGAGAGGAGGACCGTCTCGACCCGTCGCGCGACATTCTCCCCCTCATCGACGCCCCCGCCGTCTGATCTCGCTGCGACGGAGGAGGACGAGACCTTGATGCGCGCCTCGGCGACGGCGGTAGCGAGCGAGGCCGAAAGGCTGCTCAGGTTCGTCAGGGCCAGCGCCGCCTCGAACGTCTGCAGCCGCGTGGCGTGCGGGGCGAGGTAGAGGGCGGCGAGCAGCGGGATGGCCGTCGAGCTGTTGGATGCCGAGCCAAAGACGAGGACTGGATCCGCCGTGACGAGAAGCTTTGCGAGGCACTGGAGCGGGACCAGGTCTGGCTCTGCTTCGTTGCCGGCACCGCTTCCGTCGGGTCGCGGGGCAAAGAGGCCGGGCTGGGACGTGTTCGGTGCCGTCTTTGCCGCCGCTGCCGTGGCGAGCGAGGCGTAGACTGGCGCCGACAGGGCCAGGATGGCCTTGAGGCCGCCCTGCTGCACCACTTTGCCGCGGATTGCCTTGTCCTGCTTGGTCAAGATGCTATGCAGCGAGGCGGCGACGGCGCTCCGGATCGAGGGAGAAGGGTTGACGCCGCTCGAGCCGGACGCTGTGCTCGCGCTCGAAGGCGGCGGCCCGGCCGTGGCGATTGCGACGAGCGTCGAGACGAGACCGGCATCGAGCACGCGCCGGCACCGCCCCTCGACCTCGTTGCTGGTCTCGAGGCGCTTCCTCTCTGCCTCCTCCTCGGCGGCGGCGATTGTAGCGGTGGTGGACGAGGCGTTGGCCATGGCCTTGAGCTTGTCCATCTGCTGGTCCTCGTCGGTTCGCTCCGGCGCGTAGGCGACGAGGTTGTGGATGATCGACGCCAGGCCGTATTGCAGCGCCGTGTCGTAGCGGTCCGAGTCGGCGCTGGCATGCGAGGGCGGGCGTGCCGGGTCGAAGTCGTAGCTCGACTTTGGCGCCGCCGTCGACGTCCCCGCCGAAACCCCGGGCTGGCGTGCGGGGAACACGGAGCGACGAGACGACGGCAGCTTGAGCAACGACCCCAGCGCTTCGAGCAGCGCCCTGTCCTTGGCCATGCTGTCCTTGCAACGGGGCGACAAGGTGAGGTAGGTGAGGCACTCGAGCGTCGTGAGGAGCGTCTGCCGATCTGCCTCGTCGTCGGTCGTTGTCGTCGTCTCCGTCGTCTTCGTGGTCGTCTGGGTGGCGATTGCGCTCGCTGCTGCCCGCTCGACGAGATCCTGCCGGACCAGGGCTACGAGGCGCTCGTCTTCTTGCCTGTTTCGCCTTGCGTCGACCTCGCGCTGTCGAGCCTGCTGCTCCAGCGCCTCCTTCGCGCCCGCCCCCGTCGCCGCTGCCGGGCCGCCTGCAGCGGTGCCCAGATCTGGCCCTTTTCCGCCACCGCTGGCTGCGCCCATGTCGAGCTTGAACTTGGCGCTCCCGGCCGCGATGGCGACCGCACGCAGCCGTTTCTGGCTGCTCTGCGAGCCCGCCTGCGGTATCCCTGCCGGTGCGTCGGCGGTAGGCCCGTCGGCGGCCAAGATGGCGTCATGCAGGCCTTGGCGCACGCTTCTGTCGGCCGCCAGCGCCGCTCGCGTGGGCTTGTGGGAGAAAGCGGCGTTGAGCAGGTCGACGAGGGCTAGGGCGAGGGCGAGGCCGTCGTCTGCCGCAGAGGCGGGCGCATCCGAGCGGCGTAGCGCATCGAGGAGGCCAACCACTTCCGGGTGAGTGAGGATGAGGTGCGCCTCTGACGGTAGGATGGCGAAGAGGGCAGAGATGAAGCGCAGCCCTGCCTCGGCATCCTGCGGGTCGGTAGAGCTGAAGCGACGGGAGAGGAGCGGGAGGAAGGTGGAGCCGAGGCCGGATGCGACGGCACCCATGCCAGCCTTGCCTCTCAAAGCGGCGCTGCCGGGACTCGTTCCTGCTGCGCTGTCGGCTGCGACGAGGCGGAGTAGGGCAGCGACGGCGGCGGAGCGAGTGGAGCCATCGCCGGAGCGCGGACAGAAGGCGTCGATGAGCTGCGAAGCGGAGGCGGTGTCGAGTCCGTCGGCGAGGTGGAGGGATTCGAGGGATGCCAGCAACGACGAGGGGTCGCCGTCGTCGCCGCGGCTGGCAGATGTGCGCCCAGAAGTGTCGGGCATGGTCGTGGGCCAGAGCCTGCCGCGATGAGCGAGCGAGCGGGCGGGCGGGCGAAGAAGGGCGGGCGGGATGGTGGTGGTCGAGAGCCAACGACGGGGCGCGCCCCGCCCAGAAGCTGAAGGAACCCCAAAAAGCATCGCGGCCCCGTCAGGCCAAAACCCCAACCTCGCCTCTGCACGGGCCCCACCACCACCACCACCACCACCACTACCGCTACCAACGCCAACCCACCATCGCCGCTCGCACCGCCGCCACCACCCTCCTCGCCCTCCCTCATCCTCCCCTCGTCCCCTGTTTCCCCGTCTTTTCCCTCCCCGCCTGCGCCGTCCACCCTTACAGCAATGCACCCAATTTGCATTGACCCGCACAGCGAGGCAGCCACCTTTTGGCCCGTGAAGACGACTCTGCCATCCCCCCGCGTCCGTCGCCCCCGTCCGCCTGCGAAAACCCCGGAGCTGCGACCACCACCGCAGCCACAGCGGCTGCAGTCAAAGCAGCCGCCACGGCCACGCTTGCGGAAAGCGCTCCAACTACCGCCGCTGCCACAGCAACCGCGACCGCAATGGGAGCATCCGCCGCAGCCACATCCACAGTTGCTGGCAGAGCTAAAGTCGACGGCCGCGCCGCTGCGGCAGGCCAAGTCGCCGTGGCAGGCCGAGCCACAAGCCGCAGTGGCAGGCTAAGGCGCTGCGGCAAACCGAGCCGATGTGGCAGGATGAGCGACAGTGGCTGGCCGAGCCGCAGCGGCCGTCGCCGTTAACCTGCCATTGCACTCGCCGTTGCACTCGCCATCACGCTTGCCGCCTGCCTCGCCGTTAACTCGCCATTTGCCGCGCAGTCGCAGTCGCAGGCGAGAGACCGCTGCCGGCAAATCTCCACTGAGGAAGGCATGAAGGGTGGGCCTGTCTAAACACAGAAGCCATGGGGCACCTTCAAGTTGTCTAAGGTGAGGAGACCCCTTTCACAGCAAGCACATGTCTAAGCCTTGGTGCTGCTGATGCAGCAGGCTCCTTTCATAGCTGAGATCCTTCACTGGGGACCCGTTGCAGCTGACTCTCCCCACCACCAGTTTGTGAAAGGTGACCAGGGATACCACCTGGAACCCTAACCCTAACCCCAACCCCAACCCCAACCCTTACAAGGGGCTCCCCAAAAATCCAAAATGGATTCGCTGCTTGAGCGATCTGAGAACTTCAGTTGGTCCCTTGGGTCCCCCCTGGTGCAGTGAAAGGGTTAGAGTTTAAGCTCTACCGTTGGCAAAACGGGGCTCGAAGTGATTGTCCTATTTTTAGAAAGTTGGCCGGATCGCTCTGGTGTCTCTATGAAAGTTGTAGAGGGGGTGCAGGGAGGCATAATGGCCAGGAGGAAAAAAGTTCCTTTTGGATGGTCGATTTTGTATGAGGTTGGGAAGTTGGGCATGAAGTTAAACTTCACCAACCTCACCTGGTGAAGTTCAACAACTTCAACAACTTTGACAACTTAGGGTTCCAAAGACCCCTGGCGCTCGCTTGACTGCCGCGTCGCCC